TCTGTCTGGACATTAATTATAGAAGTTGCCAACACTACAGGGGTGTCTGTGAACAACTCATAATTGACGACAACGTTGACATGGTACTTGACGACGGTTGCAATAAACCTATTGCGGTGCATGGAGAGCTTGCAATTGAGTTGTAATTTGTGTCGCTTTTCAACGGTTTTAATCGGGTTGTTTCGAATTTGTCGTCCAATATATTTCGGCGACGTTTGCTTCATGAGGTGGGGGATAACGCAGAGAGAGAGAGTGGAGAGCGAGATCAGTTAAAATATGAGCTGTGGTTGTTGGATTTGGAGCAAGCCAGTTTGGAAATCGAGGACAAGAATCGAGTAGGATGGCGTCCGATAACTATGTTGGAATTGGCGAAGAATAAAAAAATGAAATACGATCAAGTTCATTATGATATTCGTTTTTTGAAAATTACAGTTTTCACCCTTCAAGTTTACACTGATTACACATTTGGTCCATCAAGTTTACTAAAAACATATTTGGTACCTTACGTTTCAATAATTTAACGCATTTGGTCCCCAAGTTCATAAAAAACACATTTGGTCCCTCATGTTTCAATAATTTAACACATTTGGTCATCTCCGTCAATTTACTGTTAGTCCCTTAGTGCTAACGTAAATTTGAGGAAATGACTAAAAATGTTGAACTTCTGAAACATGAGGTACCAAATGTACTTTTTGTGAACATGGGACCAAATGTGAAATCGATACAAACTTGACGGAAGAAGTTTTCCCTATTCTTTTTACTCCGATTTATGGAAAATTACAGTTTTTGTCCCTTGAGTTTGTTCCGATTTTCCATTTGGTCCCCATGTTTCCAAAAATACATTTGGTCCCTCGTGTTTCAACAATTTAACACTTTTGGTCGTTTCCGTTAATTTATTGTTAGTCCGTTAGTTAAGCCAGTGATGGGCACACAATTGATTCCGTTAGTTTTAACGGAAAATTGACAGCAATGACTAAAAGTGTTGAATTTTTGAAATATGAGAGACCAAACATTTTTATTTTTTAACATGGACGACCAAATGTGAAATTAATGCAAACTTGAGGGATTAAAATTGTATTATTCCCCAGATTTATCGTTTGTCGACTAATTAATAGAAAAATAACTAGATGAGATAACGTAGCAGCAAACATTTTGACATGAATCGTAGTGAACCATTGATGAATATTGCTCAACAATATTTCATAAGATACTTTGTACAATGTTTCATAACTCTTTTTGACTATGAACTTAATACTAGACGAAATTATTCAATTGAAGAAGAATAATTTTGGCACAAATATAAACATTTTCGCATAGTTAAGAAACACTTTTTACTTCTTTAAAAGTGGATCCCAATACTCACAAAAAGTTGTAACAAGATTATCTAAATTATTTATTAAGTCCAAATCTTATTAATGGTTTCTTTATTTTAATATTTACTACTTTAGTCCTTTACGTCTCGATTGTCTCGTTTTTAAGTCTTGTTTTTACCCTACTTTTTAATTTTTTGTTGCACGGTGCCTCAAAATTGGAATTTTAAGGCCATTTTGACCAGAATCTTATACACGTGCTTTTCACGTGAGTTTTATGGGGGTGAAAATGTCAATTTATTTATAAGGAATATAAGGAATATAAGGAATTGACTCTTTTGCCCCCTTAAAACTCACGAGAAAAGCACATGTGCAAGATTCCGGTCAAAATGGCCTGAAAATTCTAATATTGAGGCACCGTGCAACAAAAAACAGGTTCAGGTAAGAACGTGGATTTTTTTTTTTTGGGAGGAAAATGCAAAACGAACATTAGTTTAGGGGGTAAACTGCTTTTTACTCAAAAAACTTTAATGGAATCTCCTTAAAATCGGTTATAATATTCTAGTGTCAGAATTATTTTAGATAAATTATTCAACAAAATAATAAATACTAAATTTTATAGATTTTAATCGTTGACTGAAGGTGAAAAGACAAATATACCCTTCAATAAAATAAAATACAAATAAATAACATAAAATAGTGTTCAAATCGAATTAAAAAATGGTAAATACCGCCGTTCACCGCCAGTCTCCGGCGTTGATTTTTTTTTTTTTAACTTTTTTTGATTTTTTTTTTCTTAAAAAAAATATTTTAATTAATATTACTATATTGACCGCTAAATTACTGTCTCCAGCAGTTACTTAACTGTCTGACACAATAATTTAACTGTTAATTGACCCTTTTTTTCTTTAAAAAAATATTTTAATTAATACTATCGTGTTGGCTGCTAAATTACTGTCTCACTGTAGGAGACAATAATTTAACTGTTAATTGACTTTTTTTTTTCTTAAAAAAATATTTTAATTAATATTATTGTCTTGGTTGCTAAATTACTGTCTCCAGCAGTTATTTAACTGTTAGAGACAGTAATTTAATTGTTAATTGACTCTTTTTTTCTTAACAAAATATTGTAATTAATATTACTTTCTTGGCTGATAAATTACTGTCTCCAGCAGTTATTTGTCTGCGACGACAATAATTTAACTGTTAATTGATTTTTTTTTTGATTTTTTTTTAATTATTTTAATTAATATTACTGTCTTTGGCTACTAAATTACCGTCTCTAACAGTAATTTAACTATCTGAGACAGTAATTCTATTGTATTAATTAATTTTATCGTCTTGGCTGCGTTTTTGTTGTCTTCGACTGTAATATTACTGTCTCCAACAGTAATATTACTGTCTCCAACAGTAATATTACTGTCTCATGCAATAATATTACTATTTGAGATAGTAATATTACTGCTCGAGAAAATAATATTCATAATATTACTGTTCCAGACAGTAATATTACTGTCTCATCCAATAATTTTGCAGCCAAGACAGTAGTATTAATTAAAATAATTTTTCTAAGAAAAAAAAATTCTGAAAAAAAATTATTTTGTGTATTTTGTAACAAAAATGGGGGTTGATGTGATATATTTGTTTAAATTCGGGGTCAATGTGTAATATTAAGAAAGTTAGAGTGTAATTGATGGAATTGATAAAAAATATATTATGGTGGGTACTTTGGACCAAAGACATGGAATTGGTTTATTTAAAAGACTTTTTTTTTTGGATTAATGTGCATTTGTTTTTGGGTAAATTCCACTTTACCCCCTTGTACTCTTGCTTGAGAATCACTTTACCTCCGCGTACTCTCAATTTTATCGATTTACCCCCTTGTATTTGTACAATTTCTCAATACATCCCTTTCCTTCAACTTTTGACAATTTTGACTCTGACGCCGTTTGGTCAACTCTATAAATTACAAAATTGCCACTTCCTACAACGCGTCGTTTCTCCTCCGTCAATATTGTTATTTCTTCTTCTCCCACCACTTCCCCTTCCAAGATATCCCTAAGTTGAACCCCTAACTTAATAAAAATCAAGACCCAAAAATTGATCGATTCCACCCAGTGCAAAGAAAAAAATATATGAATGTGTGAAACTTTCTCTTTTATAATCTCGAGAGTCAAAATCGAAAAAATTCAATATTTACGTCAATATTTTGACTCTTGACCAAATGGCGTCAGAGTCAAAATCGAAAAAAGTTGACGAAGAGGGTTGTATTGGGAAATTGTACAAGTACAAGGGGGTAAATCGACGAAATTAAGAGTACGAGGGGGTAAAGTGGTTCTTGGGCAGAGTACAAGGGGGTAAAGTGGAATTTATTCTTTGTTTTTTTGTCATGTCCATTTTTACCATTTGCCTCATTTTTTAATCGCCCATCTTCCTCTCACCATCTGCTTCTTTGTACCGCGAGAATAACGGATAATGGCAGCAACATGGCATTATTCTACCAATCTATGTTTGATCGCCACCTCAGCAATACACCAATCTTACTTGCAAATCTTATTATGTTCATTAAATCCAATTACTAAATTAAAGAAACTCAATACCGCTTGAATCCCTCTAATCTAATGGCGGAGCCAAGATTCTAAATTCGGGTAGGATGCATTAAAAAAATTTGGGGTGGGTGTTATAATGCTATTTTACACAATTTCTTTTATATTTCTATATTAAATGAAAAGATTTTGAGAAATGTAGGGGAGGCCGTGGCCTCCTCTGGTCATTTACTGGCTCCGCCACTGCTCTCGTCGTCATTAATCAATCCATAGCAAATGTATTTTGAATTAGAGGGCTTTCTGCATTACCGTTGGTAATTATGCAACTTCCTTGTTTCATAGACATTTGCAATGGCGGCTTCTCTCAGCTTTTTTTACTTGACTGAAATTGGAATTAGGCAAATAGCCATTGATTATGGCCGCAAATCGCAATTCTTTATTATGTTGTTTTATGGGAAAATTATAGTTTCTATTCCTCAAGTTTGCACCGATTTCACATTCGGTCCCCTATGTTCACAAAAACACATTTGGTCCATCATGTTTCAATAAGTTAACGTTTTTAGTCATTTCTGTCAATTTACCGTTAGTCTGTCGGTTAAGTCATTGATAGGCACATGCTTGATTCCGTTAATTGACGAAATTATGGTTCGCCGGAAAAGTTAATGTACAGCTCTTTACCACTGGGCCAACCAACTTGAAATAACTAAAGTGATTTCCAATATATAATCAATCATACATTCACATGTAGGCACCAACTTTACGACATCATTTTACCAACCCTCATTAGGAGAGTTGGTACATAGCCTTTACCAATAGGGTAAAGGTCTAGGATTCGAGTCCCCCCCTCCCCTACTCCCCTTGTAATGGACTTGAATTTACTCAAAAAAAAAAAAAAAAAAAAGTTAAAAACAGTAGGGGGCATTTTGTATTTTTTCAATAGTATTAGGGTGTCAATGCAACGATGGCTATAGTACTCGCGTGCAAATTGTATTTTACCCTAATCTTTATATTCCATATGAAGGGAATTCCATAATTCTCAAAACACTAATAGAGAAGGCTGATTTGCGACGCTAGGGTTTATGAATCTCATCAAATTTGGTTTTATTCTGCACACAAAATCGTTAGGGGTTATCAGATTAGAGGCATGAAAAAAGCAAACAGGGAAGACGTTGGTTCCAACCCCATGGACAGGATATCCGAGTTGCCGAAACACATCTTGCAGAGAATACTTTATTTCCTCTCCCAAAAAGATGCTGTTCGAACATCTGTCTTGTCGAAATCATGGCGTAATATTTGGTGTACTCGTCCCAATCTTGATTTGTCAGACATCAACTTCAAGAAATTCAAACAGGAGTTTCTATCCACCGTGGAAAAGAATTTACAACGATACTGTGATCGAAGGATGTGCTTAGAGGAATTTGGCCTCCGTATGTTTCTAGGCAATCACGAATCTGTTTCGCTTCTCGAAAAATGGATCCCATCTCTAAAAAATATGGGTGTGAAGGAGTTTCGACTTTCTATTTATTGGAAATACAGTCGTCAACTGCCGTCTGTAGTCTTTGAGGCGGAATCACTCCAAGATTTGCATGTGGAAGGATTCATGTTGGACCAAACAACTATTGGAAGGAATGTTCTCTCTAAGCATCTGAAAAATCTTCATCTCGAAAAGGTCGATATTGAGGACGGGGTTTTTCAGAAGATAATCTCAAGTTGTCCTTTGATTGAAACTTTATCTCTCGAATCATGCGAGAGGTTAAGAAACATCAAGGTGAACACTCTTCTTCGTCTCAAGAAATTTTACTTTGAATCTGCGCCACACGAAAAATGTAGCATCGAAATCCATCCCGCGTCTCTTGAAACCATCAAAATTGAGTTTGCGGATGTTTCGTTTCCCAAAGGTGCGGAGTTTCATAGTCTCAATAGTTTATATATGAACAATGTCATATTGTCTTCGTTTGACGACTTTTCTTCGTGTAAATTCCCGAGTCTCGACAACTTGGTTATTTCATACTGTGACGGACTCAACAAATCCAGAGAAGAAACACATCTATTTATTGATGCCCCAAACATAAACACTTTTCAATATTATGGATTCCGTAAACCATCCATCTCTTTCGCAACAACTTCTAGATAGTGGAGTTCAACTCTACATCTTCTTACGAGACGCGATCCTTCTTTGTGGTTACTCAATCTAGATAAACTGCTCAAGTCATTAAGCCGATCCGAAATTTCTCTCACTATTAATCAAATTCGCATCGGTGACGAAGGCATAGTTCAAGAAAACCTTGTTCAGTTGGTACAAGCTATTAAAGATGAAAATAAACCTACTGTTGTGTTGAAGAAGTTGATAATACGAGATGATTTACCTTACTTTTCACCTCAGTTGAATGGGTTGTTTTGCATTTGTCGTCCAAGAACCATCGGTATTGTCAACTACACAAACTCCGAGTCTGTGTTGAAGAATCTAATGCAGGGAGAAGGTGGAAACCAAGACAAATTAAGACAACTGTGGCTGCCATATTTGGAGGAAGTAAGCTTGGAGATTTACGACTGGAATGAAGATGAATGGGATCCGACAAGTTTGTCAGATTTGCCTAAATACGAGGAAGGGAAATGTATCTCTAATACTCGCTTTGCATTGAAATGGAGACAAAATTTGTGAGTGTTTGAGTCCTCTTAAGCTTCATAAATCATAGATCAGCCGGTCGGCAGTTATATATACATAGTTCTAGTATCTGTTAACTTAATTATAAAGCATAGTTTTATCTGCTTATTAATTACTTGGTACTGCTAACAGTAAGTTTCATGGCCATAAAGTTAAGTTATCTAAATTTTTTATTAAAGGTAAAATATTTCTTGAATTTCGTTAGTCTCATTGGAATTTCATGGTCATGTTTTCATCTTATAAAGCCTTTTACAACCTTGCAAAATACTATTAACTCGTTATGGATAGTGATAGATGAGAGTTTATTTTTATAATTTGACCTTGTTCATGGGTTTCTCCTAATTTACCCTGGGGCAAAGTGCCAAATAAGCCTAATCCGAAATCCAATTACCTGGTTTTTTTCTTATGTAAAACTATTAAATAGTAACTTTTATATCTCTCATCTCATATCATATGTATTTATAGGGAAAATTACGAGAAACCCCTGAGCTAAGGCCTAATTATAAAAAGGGCAAATTACCAAAACCCCCCTGAGGTAAGCCTAAATAACGAGAATCCCCCCCATGTTCTCGTAATTACGAAAACCCCCCTGAGGTATGCAGACGTCTTACAAATCGCTCTAACGGTGTTAGACTCGATAGAATCTTTTTGATTCTCCCGAATATTCCTCCGATAATACCAATTTTGCCCTTGTACACGAAATTAACCTTAGGGGGGTAATTGTAAGCATTTTATTTTTCTTAAATTAAACCCAAATATAATCAATCATTATGAATGTACAATGTATTTTTATTGGATTAAAAAAAATGAATGAATGAGATTTCAAAATTTAATTATTTTTTATATATAAAATTAAATATTTTACAATTCGAGAAATACAACCATGCATCATTCAAGCTAAAAGCATAAATCCGTATGAATACTCCTCTGGATAAATAAAATCAATTAAAATATATAAATAAAAAAATATATAAGTGTCTGCAAAATACTTATTTTTCTTAAATTAAACCCAAATATAATCAATCATTATGAATGTACAATGTATTTTTATTGGATTAAAAAAAATCAATGAATGAGATTTCAAAATTTAATTATTTTTTATATATAAAATTAAATATTTTACAATTCGAGAAATACAACCATGCATCATTCAAGCTAAAAGCATAAATCCGTATGAATACTCCTCTGGATAAATAAAATCAATTAAAATATATAAATAAAAAAAATAAAAAATTATAATATCAAATTATCAATACAAATTACAAAGTAATAAATAAATTTATAAAAGCAATAAATCATCAACTAAAAGGGATGTCAGGGGGGATTTTCGTTATTTAGGTTTACCTCAGGGGGATTTTGGTAATTTGCCCTTTATTTTTTACATATTTAACAGAAGGATATAATAGACATTTCACGTTTTCGGTTAAAAAAATTCGGTCAACCGTTAGTCAAGGGGGGTTTTCGTAATTACGAGAACATGGGGGGGATTTTCGTTATTTAGGCTTACCTCAGGGGGGTTTTGGTAATTTGCCCTTATAAAAATCTTTCTCATGTTTATGTAATTACGAAAATACCCCTATGACCAGTGTTTGACATAAATTACGAAAATCCCGCCACATCTGTGATTTATGAAAATCTCCCGAGGTATGTTGCTGGAGAATTATGCCAGAAGCTTCTGCGAGTTATTAAAAATTTATAATAATAATGAAATATTTGTAACATAAAATCGATTTTATAGAATAAAAAGTTATAAAAATATTTAAAATCAATTTCATTGAATAAAAAATTATAAACAAAACAAATAAAAACTTTTAATGTTACAAGATATATTTAATTATTTTTTAGATATTTAATTTAAAATTAAAAATAAAGTTAATAGCATTTCGCCACCGGAACTTTGCTCGTTTTTGCACTTTGCCATCTTAACTGATAAAAGTTGCAAAAGCACACCCAAACTCAGTTTTTTGACGCACATAACCACCAAAGGGCAATATTCCGGCGAATCTTCTAATTTTCCAACGCACACGCGATGCACATGCTTAATGAAAGGGTTTTTTGGTCATTTAACTTCAAAAAATTTGTGGGGCCTGTTTTTTGTCTTTCTTCTCCTGTTTTGTGGGCATTAATTTTTTTTATGGTGATTTTTCTCCGTCAAAGCCTTCTCTTTCACGAGGCTGTCGTTCAGATCTGAACCCGATTCCATTTTCTGCATCGGCCTGGGCCCGGTGAACAAAAGGGCACTGCCATTGGAGAATTCCGGCCTGGAGGGGGGGGGGGGGGGGGGCTGCCGTTGGAGAATTCCTCAAACGCCTAGTTGATGAGCGCGCCAACAAAGAGACAACGAATGAGAATTACTGGAGCAGCAGGTCACTTCCCAATTCAAGTATCCACGCGCACGCCCATTTCAATTCCACCACTTCCTTCAAATTCGTCGCTCTCTAGGGGTTTAATGTTTGATTTGGGCCCCGACAAATCGTGGGAAAGCGTCAAAATCGGTTCGCTGGTCGTGAAAAGGTACCTCGTCGACGAGGAAGAACGGTGATACATGCGGTACCACAGGCTTTCTGGCAAGAATCCGAAATCCGATTCAATCACTTTCGGAGTTGGGTTCTTCGTCTCTCTAATCTATGGCGAATTTCAACAGATTGATGTCGTTATTCTTCATCTGTTTATTGGAGATTTTTTTGCTCCATTTTGAAACAGGCGTGCGGCGGAGGATGTTTTGATCCCAAAGAAGATGAAGCCACAAAGCTTCAATTAATTTTGAATTTGTGAAAGTTTCAAATTAAGTTCAATTAAGTCTTTGGTACTTTCAATTTCACCCCCTTATCATATTTTCAGGTAAAAGAAGAAAAAACCCTTGTACTTTCGCATGTGCATCGTGTCGCGCGTGCGTTGGAAAATGCGAAGATTCGCCGGAATATTCCCCTTAGGTGGTTATGTGCGTCAAAAAACTGAGTTTAGGTGTGCGCTTGCAACTCTTTTTTTAGTTAAGGTGGCAAAGTGCAAAAACGGGCAAAGTTCAGGTGGAAAAACTCTATTAAACCTTAAAATAACTATATTTTTTTTTAAATATATTGCAATACCTTTATGTAATTAATATGATTAAATATGTGACATGTTAAAGGACAAAATTGCCATTTTCATAGAGATATTCAATATTATACTAAAGGGTAAAAAACATTTTACCCCCTGGACTTTGGGGTGTTTTGCACGGCGCTCCCCAGCTTACAAAATTTGCACATTTTTACCTGAACTCGTTAATTCGTTGCACGGTGCCCCCTAAACTCAATTTTCTGACAATTTGGACCGGAATGTTAAAACATGTGCTTTGCACGTGAGATTTTGAGGGGTAAATTTGTTCCTTCACTTGCATCTTTAATATAAAATACAAATAGATATTAAAAAAAAATAAAAGAAAAAAGAAAAAAAGAAAAAAGAAGTTGTCATCCATTTGGCACAGAAAAAAGAAGATGTCATCTATAATGCCCTCCTTACTTTAAATAAAAGTAATTTTTTTACCAAAAATACCTTGAAAGTGTGGTCAAATTACCAAACAATCCTCATGTATTTCACAATTACTTAAAAAAGCCCATAAGGTTGTTTTCCATCTAACAATGCCTCCTTAATTATAAGGTTAATTTTGAAACATTAAGATTGTCTTTGAAGGTTTGAAGAATCCAGCTCTCTGCTTTTTTTTTTTTAATTTGAATTTGAAGTTATTGGCATTAGATGTCAATACTTTAGGAAAGTTAATTTATTGTTTTATTTCACATGGGCATAGTGCATACAATACATAATTAGGAGAATATTACAGTTTTCATCTTTCAAATTTGCACCGATTTTATATTTGGTCCCCCCATATTCACAAAAACACATTTAGTCCCGCAAGTTTCAATAATCTAACATTTTTTGTCATTTCCGTCAATCTACCATTAGTTCGTTGGGTAAATTACAAACACCCCCTGAGGTATGGTCAAATTACAAAAACACCCCTCTTGTTTGGATAATTACAACCACCCCGTAGACTCCTCAAATTTAGTGGAATCTTCGAGATTATATGGAATATTATCACTTTTGTACCCGTTTTATCCCATTCAAACTCTACATTATGAAGCAAGATGATCATAATATGTGATTTTTAGCTTGTATATATATCAGTTTGTGGTGCACCGGAAACTGTATTTTTACTCAAAACGAGTACAAACTAGAGCAGATTTCACGGAATCTAGATGATTATATTGAATTTGGCACCATAAGGGTGGAGGTGTAAGAAAAAATCAAAGTTAAGGGGGTAGATGTAATTATCCAAACAAGAGGGGGGGTTTTGTAATTTGATCATACCTCAGGGGGTGTTTGTAATTTACCCTTAGTTCGTTATTTAAGGGGATGATGGTTACATGATTGATTCCGTTAGTACTAACGGAAAATTGAGGGGGAATTACAGTTTTGGACCCTCATGTTTGGTACGATTCCACTCTGGTCGGGAAAATTACATTTTTCGTCCTCATACTTTACTCACTTTTTCAAAACTGTCCCTAAACATTTTAGAGTTACAATAGTAGTCCTTAGTCATGCCATTTTTTTACAAAATTGGTCCGCCGTTAATTTTTTCCGTTAAGTTGGATGGAAAACGGCATGTGCCTCTCACATGACTTCAATTTACAACACTACATGAAAATGGACTTTCAACGACACGCATTGCGTCTTGTTAAACAGTGAGTAATGACTTTCATGTCGTTAAAAGTCCATTTTTATGTAGTGTTGTATATTGAAGGCATGTGAGAGGCACATGCCATTTTCCATCCAATTAACTGCAAAAATAAACGGCGGACCAGTTCTGTCAAAAAATGGCATGATTAAGGACTACTATTGTAACTCCAAAATATTTAGGGACAGTTTTGAAAAAGTGGGTAAAGTATGAGGACGAAAAATGCAATTTTCCCCAACGTGGGTTCTGTAAGAATCTTAAAAGAAGGAAATTACTTCGGCAAAAA